CACAAAGACATCTGCCTATCTAGATAGTTAGTTTTTGGCACTACAATGCACCAAGAACTTAAAAATAAGTCATATATATAATTAAAGAAAATTGACAGATAGCAAAAGCATTGTTATCCTCAAGGCAAGGCCCTCATCTGCCCTTCCCCTAATAATTCTACTTCTATCGTCTTTACTTTTTCTTTAGTATGATTTGGCTGGATAACTGATTATGCAAATTGCATTATTATTATATAATAATATAGATAATATAGATAGGCAGATGTCTACTGAGGAAGACAAGACTGTAGAAGAATCAAAGCACAACCAACAGACTTGGTTAAGCACTGGAGAGAATCAAACAACAATTGTGGACATTGATAACAACATTTGCTTGATGTCTGAAGCTGTTGTGCTAAGTGATGAAACTCAATCAGAACGGACTGTGACTGATTATGCAAACAGATCTTCTGATGACCACTTGAGCCTCGCTGAGCGATCCCTTTCTGCTGCTGGTGCTGCTTTTCTCTCAGCCGTGCTTGTTAACCCTCTAGATGTTGTTAAGGTTTTTACCTCCAACTTTCAAGTTCATTGTTATTGTTTGGTTGGTTGGATTTGTCATTATTGTATCTACTTTGAAATGATATTGTGAAGGGAATTATGAGAAATTATTAGTTGTAGTTTTTGGAGATTTGTACTGCACAAGATTGCAAGATTGCAGACTTTGTAGAAATTAGTTTTATATCAATTTTACAGACAAGATTGCAAGCACAAGCAGCAGGAGATCTCTATTCACACCCTTTAAGCAACATGACGAGTCGCATGGCAATGTTTGGACCAAACATGGTAAGGTTTCACCAATAGTATTCATTTGGAATACTTTTATCTCCACAAGTTTGGATTTCTCCTCACTTTTGCTCTACATACACTTGGTTAGATGTTTGCTGATCTAAGGTGTTCACCTTCATGCACTCGTGCCGGTGTTCATGGGACGGTGGCGATTTGTCCACCAGATTGTTTCCAGTACAAAGGAACACTTGATGTCTTCTACAAAATCATTCGACAGGTGTGCCCCTCTGGCTTTCATGCTCTGAAGTGGTTATAAGTTTTGAAAAAAAATATTAATGGAGATCAAATTTTTCCACTTGCACTGCAAATTTAGTGATTGGTTAAACAGGCATGCAATAACTATTCTTTTTATATGTGCTTCAGTTGTAAATTAGTAATTTCATGGCTAACTTGAATATTTTTCACAGGAAGGATTTTCTATGCTTTGGCGAGGAACGAATGCTGGTCTTGCATTGGCAGTACCAACAGTATGTGTTTAACATGAATGTTTGCAAGTCTATTTTATAAATTAGTATGATAGCCTGGTCATTAGCAAATAATTGTATTGTGAACAGGTAGGGATCTACTTGCCTTGCTATGATATCTTTCGCAACAAATTAGAGGAATACACCTCCAAAAATGCCCCAAGCTTGACGCCATACACTCCTTTACTTGCTGGTTCATTAGCCCGTTCTTTAGCATGTACAAGTTGCTACCCAATTGAACTTGCCAAAACTCGTATGCAGGTTTTTAGTCTTACTGTTGTTGATTTTCTTTGCCGTTGTTCATTATTTGAGATAAATAAATGTTTCAATGTTGTCTGTCTTTGAAGTAGTTGCTGCTCTTAGTGTTGTTGGGCACATTCCTTACATAGTTACACTTAGTCTGTTAATATCCAATTGACTTTATTTTCTTACTATTAGGCGTTCAAGGAAATGCACAAGGGTAAAAAGCCGCCTGGAGTTGTTAAGACTTTATTTGAGGCAGTCTCTAATGTTAAGATCACTGCTACTGCTAGTAACAGCTGTAAGTTGATCTCATTTTCTTGGTTATAACTTATAAGAACTCAACGTATTGTTAGAGTGTAATGGTATATGATTTATAAACTCCTTTGGTGTTTGTATGTGATCCTCATTCTTGTAAATGGTTCCATCCGGTTCAAAATAAGTGTCATTTTGGAAGAGATCACGCTGCCTAAGAAATTATTAATTCGAGAGAACCTTGTTACTAGCATTTAATTATTAATGAATGATTAATTTTACCCAGGGGTATAATGAAAAGAATAGCATTAAGTACTGTCTTGGTTTTATAAAAGTGACCTATATTGTGAAACAACGCTTGTTGAAATATAATTCATTATTGCAGTACAAAGCTATCGCGTACTTTGGACAGGCCTAGGGGCACAACTTGCCCGCGATGTTCCTTTTTCTGCAATATGTTGGTCCACTTTAGAGCCAGTGAGTCTACTTTTATTGTTACATTTGAATTTTCCCTAGAACCTGTTTAGTTCAAGGCTGTAATTTATTACTTCTACAGGCACGAAGGCGGCTTCTTAGTCTGATGGGTGATGAAACTCATGCTGTTGGCATTCTTGGTGCAAATTTCTCTGCTGGTTTTGTTGCGGGAAGCCTTGCAGCTGCTGCAACTTGTCCACTTGATGTGGCAAAAACCCGAAGACAGATTGAGGTTGAGTTGTATTAGACGTAGACCCCCCTCCTCTATTATTCTTTCCCCACCTTTACTCTATGTGTTGTTGCAGTATTTAATTTTTAAACATACATTATTTGGCTTTCTTTGATGCTTTCAGAAGGACCCAATCAGAGCATTGACTATGACAACGAGAAAAACTCTAATGGAGGTTTGGAGGTATTTTCTTGAACGAGTCCTGTTAACTTCGTCTTATAAATCATACTTGCTAATTATATCGAAAAGTGATAGATTTAAAATTTCGAGTGATGATCACGTGGATGATTTTATTATTTACAAATGTGTTAAAAGAAACACACTTATGCTGTAACACTAAATAATTAATAATAATATTTCCTCTAAGAAGCTGCTTTCTACCTTAGCAAATAAATGTGGTAACCTATGCTAAACCACAAATTAGAATACAGAACAAGATTTTTAGGTATAAAGAATTCATAATTAATAATGAATGGTGTGGTATTTCTAATCTAAATACGAAGTACGTAGTATATATGTATGGCTATAATAGTTAAGTGATACACAGTGATGAAGGTGGTCTTTCACTCTAAAAATTTTCAACATTGAGTGTGTTTATCAATCATTGGCTGATTGCAGAGACGGAGGCATGAAGGGACTCTTTACAGGTGTGGGACCCCGTGTTGGTCGGGCAGGACCTTCTGTTGGTATAGTTGTGTCATTCTATGAAGTTGTTAAATACGTGTTTCATCACCAGTACGCCATGGCTTAGATGGACAAAGGTGCACGGCGAATCAAATTGGTACATTTTGGAGATTGACTGTTGACCAGTGGTATACTTTCTGACAAAATAAAACTATGTCTCGGTAGGAGAGGAATGTAGGCTTTTCTTTAGTTTGTTGTGTGCACTGAAGACTACAGGAAGCGGTCTTCTTAAAAATGGTATTGGTAGATCATTAACAGCATCACACTTGGTTAGGAAATGAAAGAAAATAATCTATCTTCTCTCTTGTTGCCTGAACAATTCGTTTTGTTTAGCGTTTTCAGTGAAGAGAGATGCTAGAAATATTTTGTGTATAGATAGATATTACTAAAATTTTGAATTTGTTTTTTATTGGCTGGTAATATTCGTTCTGCTCTAGTTTTGTTTTAATTTTTGTATTTGGATATTAAAACTATACTCCGTATTTAAGATTTAAATCAATTTTTATGTTGAACAAAATCATTTCTATCAGTAATAATTTTATTCTGTTATTTATGAACCTGGAACATGGTCACTACTCTCTGTCTCTACTCATACTCTATTAGTAATAGTTAGTAGCATGTAGACATGGGCATGGACAGATTTGTACCATGAATCTGGATCTAGCCTAAACTTGTTAGGTTTAAGTTGCAGGGTTCTGGCCTTCTGGGTCACAAGTGAAGAAAATCAGCATTCCATTAAAAAGAACTTGGGAGTTGGGAGAATACGTGGTAGAGCCGTAGAGGCCTTCTTTTTTGGTCCCGTAATTACTATGCCTCTTTCACTTTTCTGGAGTAATGATATGGTCATATACTCATATATGACTACTCCATAGTAGAGTAGTCATATTCCTATGTGCCCTCCAGCATGGTTAGTATGCAGATTCACACCACGCAATCACTGATGACTTGTGCACAATAAAGCCCATCAGATAATAATTTTTTGTTTCAAAATTATCATTTTTAGTGTACATACATGGGTCCACAAATTAGATTTAAGATGAGTTAAAAAGTAATTATACTTGAAGCAAGCAATAGCCGAAAATGCAAGTTTGGCAACACGTATATAATACGGAGTATATATTTACAAAAATTGCCCTACGGTTCCTACTTTTGTCATTGTTTGTAGGGAAATTTCTTAGGATATGACTAAAACTGAATGAGTTTTCCGATCTATGACCTAACTAGTTTTTAGACTTATGTATGATCGAAAATCCAAAAAAAAATCTCGTTTATATTTAAATATTGAATGACGAAAATACCCTTATTTAAAATATGTGGATGTTGCACCAATTTTGTCAATTAAAATTACTGCAGTTTATATTGTTGTTACTGCACAACATTAATGTACATCCGGTAATAATCACTGCACTTCCGCCAAAATTAATTCTATTAAACACTTTTTCAATGCGTTTATTCATTGTCTGTGTATAACATTATGTATTGTCATTTACACTCACATACTCAACAACATCTATTATAAAGTTTAATGTTCATTTTCATTGCACATGTTCAATGCCCATCTTCAATGCCTACGAACCCTGATTTCATATAACACAAAATTTCAGAAACTCAAAAGAAGCCCACAAATCCTAATCTTGATTAACCAAAAACCATCGCTGCAGAAGGAACTCCTCGTGCGACCGGCCGGTTGGTCGCTACTACCTGGAAGGCAAGAACTCTAGTGCCCATGGTCAACAACATGATGGCATGTAGGGAAGATTTGTCTGCTGCATCTTCCTCGAGGGTCCGAACTTGAAGGAGTTGATGGTTGAATCTGAGGCCGCCCAGGGACCAGTGCGCCTCCTCGCCCTGCGATATTATGCCATCAAAGACGGGTACGACGCAAGCTGTGTGATGGGTGTCATATGAGGTATGCGAAGGCGAGAGGAAGGAGGGTGAGGGCCAGACAGCGGTGCTGGTGTGGTGCTGGACAGCGGCGGCGGTGCTCTGAACGGCGGCGGCTGGACAACAGGTTAGAAAAGGCAGTGGCAAGGGCTATGCGGTTAGGGTTGGAAAAAATAAGAAAGAGCTTAGGGTTTTATAAAAATAGCTTAAAGGGTATATTAGTCCATAAAAATAATTAATTATTTATTAATCACGAAAATAATTATATATTACCAATTAAAATATTATTTGGGGAAAAAACTAGTTAGATCATAGATTGGGAAAGTGGGAGAGTTTTAGTCATACCTAGAGTAATTATCTTCTGTGTTAATCAAATATAAAGTCAAATATAAAATAAACAGTCTTCTAACAAAGATATTATTCTCAAAATGACTCGTAAACATGAAAAATGACCTAACGAAATGTCTCGTAAACGCCAACACTTTTTTTTTGGATTCAATTTTGTAATCATCCACGAAAATATAATAAGATTTCTCTAATAAGCCCCCCTCTAGCTAATTGATAAATAGGAATATACTCTCATACAAATGGACTTGTTCATAATTCATTCATTGACCAAATATAAAGTAAATAATTTTTAAAAAGGAAAAACTGCTTATATTAATATAATTAGGAATCAAATCGTTACATCAAATTCAAAGAGACCAACAGTGACAACACCTAATCGTGATCAACTATAACTATCAACCCTTTGGCTAGACTTAGAAATGACCACCACTGAAAGAGTAATACGTATCACTAACCACCAAATAGATTTATAGATGCGACACATCAATCACTGGTCATATAAATCCTTCTAACGACATAATAGCTAGCAGAATTGCCAATCATTATTGTAGACCTAAAACTAAAATCATCAACAAAAAACAAAACTATGTAAATAAACATAACATGAATATAAGACCATAAGAAATAAAATAATCAATGCAAGCTTCGAACTCTTTCCTGCCAATTTTCTTGAAACATCATCTTCTAAAATCCAAACTCTGGCACCTCGATTGCACCCGCCAGCTCCCTTATCAGTTGGGGATTTCCCCTAGTTGCCTCGGGAATCAAGTCTTCGACACCCCAGTTGTATCCCCATGATGATTCTCCACCGGCGTGCCCCTGGGTGGACCAGTTCTCGGGGGTCCTACTACCCACTTGCCCCCAAAGGTGCCACGAATGTACTCTGATGTGATTCTGACCATGTTGAGAGTAGATAGTGCTTAGGTTAATGGTTTGATTCGGATTTTTGTTGTTTTCACAAAGACGATGCCAATGTTGATCGAGGTTAAGTCCTGTAGATCCGAAAACCCAACACCAACTTTGGGATATTTAGGATGATGGTTTCGTATAAAAGTGTTTAAGATATAAGATCTATGTCAAATGCACTCAAAAGTCTGCTTGTATTAAGATAATAGCAGAGATTACACAGAAATGGCCGAACGATGCTTCTGAACCGTTGCTAATACAAGAACTAGAAAGATAATCTGAGGCTTCTGAGTATCCAAATCCTCACCCCTTCTAATGAAGTAAATGCCCCTATTTATACTAGGAGGGGTAGGTGATGCGGTGATGTGGCCGAGTCCGGTTGGTTGTTTTCTTTGCCACTTGTGCACGCATGCCTCCACTTGTTACCGCCATATACTAGCATTTAATGCCGCCTTTAACTAATCAAACATTCCAACTCAGCTAGTTGTGAGGTTACTGTGCCTAGTGGGAGGTCTCAAGTTCGAAACGCGCTAGACACATAAGGGTTCGAAACTCAATGGAGCGAGTTTCAACCTTGGAGTAAAAAAAATGCAGCCTTTAACTTGCAGGCTCCTCGATCGATTCCTGGGCTCACCATGCTAGTGGGCAGAGATAATGCTGTCATTTGTTCCAAGTATGATAAGTGCGCCGTTCAGGTTATACCGAACGAAGTCCCTAGTGACTGCCAACACCACGTTCGGGGTCTCGTAAGTTTGGGCCAGGATCCCTTTGGGCCTGCTCTTTCCCTTAGGCCCCCAAGCTATCTTGGGCCGGAACCCAATATCCCAACACTACTTGTGTTGTAGCAAATTCGTCTGAATGAGACAATGATTCATTGAGCTCAATTTCATTCAAGTATTTCTAATTAGTTCTATTTTATTCACCATGCAGAATATTTGAATTTTATACAACAGGGGAAACCTTTTCTATCAAAATAACGAAATTTTGATAGAATATTTTGAAATAACGAAATAGAATAGATTGAAAAACAAATTTTGAATTTTCTATTTTATCGCTAAACCTGGAAATGACAAATTTAAGCCTAAAACAAACAAATTTGAAACCTTTTCTATCAAAATAACTCCGAAAATCCAAACATTCAAATCAAATCCACTCTGACTAAAACTAAAACTAGCACTACTAAAGAGAAAATAATAGAGGAAATTACCAAAACATGGGAGTATGGCGTCTAACATGCCAAAACACGGGAAAGTGATTTAGGTTACCAAAACACGGGAGTCGGAATCCGTTGTTCCGACTAGAGATTAGGGTTTCATAAATAATTTGAAACACCTAGTCGGAATTGGGGAATCCAACTAGGGTATTGTGATATTTTTAATTTTTTTAATGTTTCGAATGGGTGAGGTGTTTAATAATTCGAACACCTAAATAATTTGAAACACCTAGTCAGAATTGGGAAATCCGACTAGGGTATTATGATATTTTTATTTTTTTAATGTTTCGAATGGGGTGAGGTGTTTAAATGCTGTTCGAGTATTTCACCAAACTCCCACACTAATATCCCTATAAAATCCATTCATTTGTTCTCAAAATTTACACACACTCCAAGAACACTTCTTTCTTTCTTAAAGTAATATATTCTTTTTTTTTATTTAGCACTCTCCTCTCATATTATATTTATAATATATACCATATATAAAAATGTCTAGTGAGGGTAATATTGTTGTTATGGTTCATTGGAATGACTCTACATCTCAAAAAGATGATGAAATAGAGTACTTCATACCTCCTAGGGCAGTACTATTCATTAGTGAAGGAGATGATTATACTACTATACATGAGAATGTCCTAAATCATGTTAGAGGCGACAGAATTTCCGAAGTTAAATTAATTCACGGAAAATTGCCAAAATATAAGAATTCGGTATATGTTGCTTCTAGATTATGACCCATTCACGATGAGCGGACATGGCGTCATTTTTTCTGGATCGCTACAAATGAGTATGAGGAGTTGCACATTTACGTGGAAGCTTCAGCGACCCCGCCACAAAATTTGACTTTCCACGGAACTCCCGGAGAGGAAGGCCCATCATCAATATATGGTCGGAGGAACAACCGCCAAACGTTTCAGAACTATGAATCTCCCAGTATGTATTGTTCAAGTTAAGTAGAATTTACAATGATTTGATTTTATTTGTTGTCATTTTAAGAGTGTAGAAGTAGTTAATTTAGTAATTCGTAAAGTTTTTAATTTAGATTGTTAAATTGGAATTTTAGAGTTAATGAGTATATATCACTGATATTAGTAATATATGTATTAGTTAGTGTATTATATACTTAGGCTATCATACAAGTATATATTATCTGTAGTATAATATATTAAAAAATAATACTGATATTATGCATAATTAGACTAATTAATAACTCTATAATTTAATATCTTTATAATAATATTACGCTTACCTAATTACTTATATGTGATTTATATATTACTTATATTAAATATATATTTACAATATTGATTTAGACGGAGATAGTATCACGTCGTTAAAAAAGCTATATATAGATCGCTAACTTATAATTTGCCTTAATTAGTTTTTTTAGGAGTGTAGAAGTAGTAGATTTAGTAATTTGTAAATTTTTTAATTTAGATTGTTAAATTTGAATTTTAGAGTTAAATTTAGCTATAAAATACTTGAAAGTTAGAAAGAGTGTTAAATTTAGAATTGGCCTTAAATTTTGGTTTTAGGAGTGTAGGAGTAGTTAATTTTGTAATTTGTAAATGTTTTAATTTAGATTGTTAAATTGGAATTTTAGAGTTAAATTTGGCTATAAATTACTTGAAAGTTAGAAAGTGTGTTACATTTAGGATTTGCCTTAAATTTCGGTTTTAGGAGTATAGAAGTAGTTAATTTAGTAATTTGTAATTTTTTTAATTTTGATTTGTGAAATTGGAATTTTAATTTAGTGTATATTATACTTAATATATCTTTGTAATTCAGATACAAATATTATCGAAATTTAACAGATAATAAAAAAATTATCTGATAAAATTTCTCTGATTATATTTCCTTTATATTTCTCGCATCTACCGCATCTACCAAATTCATTATTCTCTCCAAACCATATCTGTACAAATTCATTATTTCCTTTATCTTTATCTGTGACTTTGTTATCTGTCGTAGTCCAAGTGGAGTCCAACTGCATTGAATCCAATTTCACCAAAACATATTTAGATTTTAAATGTAAATAAAATATGAATTTTAATGTTGTCAGAATTCTCAAATCCGACGGGCTTTTTTATAGAAATTTTTATATGCCTATTTTAACTGCTGTCGAATTAAAATGTAAAATGTTTGAAACTTAGAAAGTGTGTTACATTTAGGATTGTGAAATTGGACTTTTACTAGTAAAATTTAGCTATAATAATTGGACTTTTACTCATTAAATTCGAAATTACTAGTTATTTTGGTAACTTTTAAGATTTTAATTTTGGATTGTGAATTTAGAGTTGAACTTAGCTATAAAAATCTACAAATTTTAAAATTGTGTTACATTTAGAATTTGAGTTCAAAACCTATGAATTTATAAATTGTGTTCAATTTAGATTTAGAGTTCAATTTCGAAATTAGTAATTTATAACTACTTATTTTAGGAATTTCAAATGGAGCAAAACATTCCGCGCCCAGGGCCTGTTAACCGTCAACTACTCACGTTGCCACTGCGTGCCCATCGTGCGGACCGTGTATGGTATGAACCAGATTCCAAAGACTCGTGCTTGAAATGCGTCAATTGCCCTTCAGCTGCATTCGGAGATGAAGAGCGACATGAAAGAGTGATAGATATGTTAGCATATGCTGGGTTCTTGGAGGTAGAGCATTGGTCGGCTACGGTCATGCTCATATTTTGCAATATGGCCGAAATGCATTACCCCGATCGATTTCTTCGGTAGTTCCATATAAGGCAAGATATTCCGAATGCTCCTTTGACGGGTACTGATAATCACGGCAAACGTTCCAACATAGTAACCGGTGCATTGGCGATGTGGGCGGCCATACAACATAATATATACTTTCTTGATTATGAGCGACATATGTCCCTCGAAGCAACTAATAGGTATCGAAAATGGTACAAGAAGCATGGTATGACACGTGTCCAGAACCCTTCTCACAATGTGCCCACGACAGGTTACACCCCGACAGCACACGATTGGGGTATTGTGGTAAGTTTTTGAATACATACCATATTCATTAACATATATCGTGTCATATTATTTACACGTGTTACATTTTTATGTAGAAGCAAGGCGTTCACGAGGTGTATCAGCTCTTGGCCGACCGCGCGAGTTATGAGGACTGTCAAAAACGGCTACGGCAGATGGCCCTGGACGTAGGTGATGAAGAGATGCTCCATCGGGGCATATTCCATTATGAAGATGAAGATGAAGGTGAAAGTGACGAAGAGGATGATGCAACTGAACATGAAGGTGGGGGTGAGGACTCACAATCGCCCCTCAATTCTCAACACAGGGTGTCTCATTTGATCAATCACCTCCTCAATTCTCAACGCATCAAGGTGTCTCATTTGATCAACCACCGCCATATTATGATTCTTATCAGTGCTCCACACAAGCGGATGATTATGTTGAGTCATTTCTGAATTCGTCGTTTTACTATGGAGACACAACGGGGCCTTGGAACACTGGCGGGGGGGACGGAGCAGGACCGAGCACGCAACGTTAGATGTAGTATTAAATTTAATATTGTATGTACTGTCTATTCATTAATAAATTACATTGAAAACTACATTTGTTTTGTTCACTTCCATTAAAATTACAAAAATTGCACTTAAAACAAAATCAAATTTGTATCTAATTTGACGAATGGATTAAATCAAAATTGCACTTAAAATTACAAAAATTGCAATTAAAACAAAATTCACAATACAAATGGATTAAAAAACAATATAAAGCAATCATGTTTTGTTACTCAAAAAATCAAAATGCTAAGTTTTCATTTTTAAAAATATGTAGAGAATCTAAAAAAACTTTTAAATTTGGAATGGATAGAATTTAGCCCTAAAACTATTAATTTTTAAAACTCAAAATCAAAAACTTAAGAATTCGGCAAAAAAAAAAAATCCTAGTTGGAAGTGGCTAATCCGACTGGAGGGGGAAGTTTTTTTTTCAAAAACCCTAACTCGTAGTCGGAATTGGGAGTTCCGACTCCCGTTTTTTGGTAAACCCTAGAAAAATTCCCGTGTTTTGGCAACCCAAGCCCATTTTTCCTGTTTTTGGGTAAAACACCCAAAATAATATTTGGTTTTGTATTTAATAAACAAATTAGTTTAAAATAATTTATTATTTTGTAATTTCAATCACATCTTTTCGCACTTAGCATTAAAACACACTTGCTTATTTGTAACTTAAATGAGTTATAAACTTATAATTAAATATTTCAGCTATTTCTTATAAACATATATATTTTATTTTTACTAAACTGTGGATTTTTTAATTAATATCTCTTTCCTAAAAATTGTGTGATAATATTAGTGTAAATTTGCCCCCACTGACCGAATTTTCTGGATACGCCAGTGCTCCTGTTTGTGGTATGTTTGGATCCCGGAATATGATTTGGATGGTGTGGGCTATTGATGGTTGACGGTGGTAGCGGTGGTGACGGAAGGAGGAAGCTGGTGACTAACAATGGATACTCTCTTTTTGAATACATGGATATTTGAATACGCTTGGTTGTATACTTTGATGCTTTTAGGGGTGAGATGTAAAATAATTACTTTGCATGCGAAATGTAAGGACATAAAATGTTTACACTATTTGATTTGATTATTTAATGTTAACTATAGAGCACTTTTTTAAAACATTTCACATTGTACCGTGTAAAGTATTTTACATGGGGGGAGAGTGGTAAAATACTTTGCACGCCTTTTATGAAGCACTGCAACGACTTTGCATGCAATTTAAAAATAATTACACATCTGACCAAACAATGTAATTTATTTTACATGCAAAATGATTGCTTCCCTATACTTTGCACGCAATCACTTTGCGTGCAAAGATTTAGCGTGTAAACCACCAAACGAGCCCTTAAATAAAAAAGTGAATGACCCGTATGAATAACAACATTCAATGACTCTGGAGTCTGGACGAATAGGGTATGAGGGACTTTAACCGACGGATAATTGCATGGTCTGGTGAGACTTAGGATGTTTTCTTTTGGACTGTTTTCAGTCCCAGACCAGACTTAAACAGACCAGACCAGACTTAAACAGACTTAAACAGACCAGACCAGACCAGACCAGACTTCCGTAGTTATAAAATACACAGAGACCAGACGTTTACCAGACCATACCAGACCAGTTCAGTCCAGACCAGACCAGGCCAGACTTAAACAGACCAGACCAGACCAGACCAGACTTAAACAGACCAGACCAGACCAGCAAATTTCAATCCAAAAGAAAACATCCTTAGCCTGTATTTGATGAGATGTTTTTGAGCGAAAAAATGACCAAAATTCCACCCCGTTTTGTATATAGATAGATAATAAAGATCCCCTTGAAATTTATGGCAAAGTTGCTAACTAATGTTCTAGGGCATTTTTGTACATACCCAAATATAATATGTAGTAGTGTAGTACTATGCACATTACACACACTTTTTTACACACTTTTATCTTTTAATTAAAACTACTTATATTTTCAAACATTAATTACTTTTATCATAAATTACTTTTTCTAAAATCTATTAAATCAATCACATTTGAGATGTTTTCTTTTCAACTGTTTTCAATCTCAGATCAGATCAACTTCTATAGTTATAAAATACATAGACATTTACCAAATCAAATCAGATCAAACAACCAAATTTGACTCAAAAAACATCCTTCCTAAACACTCAAACACAAGCGTAGCTTTAAAGGTCTACATAAACACATATTCTATCTCCTCACTCTGCAATCTGCTCTTTCCCCGCCTTTCTTCCGGTATCTGGTGCTGGTTATAATCGGAACCGGCCGCCTATTCCCTCGATTAGGGTTCAATTTCCGCTTTGAAATGGCAGACGCTTACTGGCGATACAATGATGTTAGGCCGCCGCCGCAAGCTCTTCCGCCCCTCCTCGCTAAACGCCCTCGATCTGAATATGGTATATCAGTTCTTTCGCATCTTCATATTCAAGTATCACATAATCTCCCCTTTTTCAATACCACCTGCCTGTTCGCTCGATATTATATTTTTATAATTTTCTTGGATTGGGGAGACAGCTAGGGTTTTGGGGAGTTTTCGTTTGTGATTTCCTGGTTATTTCCCCATCATTTATTTCATCTTGCATAATATATGGCGGGGAAGTTGTGATTTTTTTAGTAACATGTCTAGCATATTCTTAGTAGTAAAGTTATTTATTGTCGTGCGCGAAGTAATTGATATTTGGCTTTTTAACCCGGGGATGGGAGTAAAGTTTGAGTCTTGGAAGTGCATTATACTATCTTTTGAGCAGCTACACGTTAACTATAGCTCATTTACTTGAATCCCATGAGTAGTAAAAAGGTCTCATTCTTTTGTTTATGTTACGAAGTTATAAATTGCTTATGCTTGTCTCTCTTCTCCTGCTTGAATCAAACACGGGTGACACAATTACTCTGTAATCTTTTCAAGGATAAATTTATAGGAAAGGCTCTTTCATATTATTCCAGAATACGTATAAATGCCATTATAATTTATAATCATAAATCTTAGATTCTTAATAGCATAATAGTATGTGGGATTTTGAAAGGTTAAAATGTGATTTGGATAAGACAGTATAGGTCATGCTACCATGTGGTCTGTTGTTATTGGCCTTCATAATATTTTCTATTCCTATGTTATTTTCATTTTTTCTTTATTCCTTTGTTTCCTTTTCCCCCTTCTCTAGCAGTCTTCCTTTTCTTCCCTAGGCTTCTTTTCTTCTCTTATTTTTTGCATCCATCGCCAATGTTGCAGGCTTGCAGCAAGTACGAAACTTCCATGATTGTAAAACAACATTAAATTTGCTAATTCCTTTTTCTTTTACCTAGAATGATTTGTCTAAGAATTACAGATTAAAGAAACTCCCCACAGCACACGTTTTGATGTTTTGGAAACTCTGAGCATGCACACAAGTATGTAACTAAAAACATAAAATTCTGGTTTTGGGGCTGTTTCTATTATTAGAAAGATTCAGGAAACCAGAAACCCATCTCTTTAAGTAATTAGCGCTTTAGAAACTTCGAGTTTTCATTTTTTATGAAACTTTTAATGAATTCTTAATGAGATATTATCATAGAAACTTGGCCTAATTGCGATATTTTATAGCTCAATGTGTTGCTGTAATTGTATTTCATTTTGCTACGTAATATTCTTTTTTGTTAAAAACTAATTTTGACCATTGATATTTTCATTCCTTATTAGTAAAAAACAAAAAAATTCAGTTTTTAAAAAAAAATCCTTGAGGCTTAAGCATCTCTGCTATGGGGGAATCACACGCCACGAGTGCTTGAGGCTTGAGTTCCGAACAGTCTGATGAGGCGTCCGAGGTGCAATGCTTTTTCTTTTCTGGAAAGAGGCTTTCTTTTTTTAACTGATCCCAGCGCATGATTATAATTTAGAGCTGCCTTGAGTTATTTGAACATCTTCCATGCACAGTTCAAAGCCTAATTTTCAAACCAATGCAACTTAATCCAATATTTTATTTTTAAGGAAATCCTCGGTTGACTATTCGGATTTTGTGCACACCCCAGTCCCCATAACCTACCTTACACTTCCTCCTTTTCCCACCATTTCCTCCTCGATCCCTCTTCTTTCTTCTTGTCTTTGAATTATTCAACACGAATCACGGGAAACAGAAAAGGGCTTTATGTTTTTGAGCTTGCTTGTATTTCCTAAACTACTGAATATCAATAACTTTGATGAATTCTAAAACATTGTTGTGCGATAGCTATCCTTTTCAGCATGCACTATCATATACGTAGTATTATCTAGGACTATATTTATAATATCTAAACAGAAAGTGAGGCTTATGCTTCAATACATCTTGAGTGCCTCGTGAATCTAAAAAAACGTCTCAAGGCTCTATTGCGACTATTCAAACCTTGATTTGAACCATCTAACAGTATAGAGTAGCGAACTCTGGGATGGTGAATGTTGGGACTTGGAATAGATTTTTGAAGATTGTTTAGGTGATAGGTTTTATTTGGCAGCGGTAGGAGTATGGGTGGATTGTGAGGGAAAGCCAGTTTGTGATATGGATTTATAACCTAGCAGCCAGTAGTGAAGCTGAATTTGGAGGCATTTTTGTTATCGTGGAGAAGATGAACCCTTTTTGTCATCTTTTCCCTTGTGAACCAATTTCCTAGTCACTTGAAATGATTTTGGGAAGATTACAACTATGAATTTCACGTTACACATGATTTATGAATACCTGAGATTTATATTCTTTATATTGAAGAATGTTTATAGGTGCGATTATTCATTTGCATTTATCCTTTTTATAATACACAGATCCTACAAGTGGCCATGACTTGCATGGGTATTATGTTGGCAATGATGGAAGGGGAGTTCATCGGGTGATTCGAGATACTGATCCTATGGGAGCATCCTATGACCGTTATTTGCAAAGCGCGGTAAAGAACTATTTTTATGTGTGTTAGGTGGCACTTATAAATACTCTCTTGTATATATTAGTGACTGGAATTCATAAGGCAATGTTTCAGAAAATTTCCACATATGGTGGTGGTGAACCTGCAAGATCCCTGGGTGGTGGAATAATAGGTGCGCATCCCAGCGACGATCCACGTGCCTTGGGCATTATGGGGCCAGACCCTATGGCTGCAAAAGGCAGGGCAATTGGTGCAGTAGGAGGTGGTGGGAGGAATGAAATTCCTCTCCCTTCAGATGCTTCAAGTACACTTTATGTGGAGGGCTTACCTGCTAATTGTACTCGACGTGAAGTGTCTCGTATCCTATATATTTTCTATCTATCCCATTGTTTAATGTGTCAATATCTCTGTTCTTGGATTTTTTCCTTTTCCTTCACTTGTCACAGACATATTCCGCCCATTTGTGGGCTATAAAGAAGTAAGACTAGTAACAAAGGATTCTAGACGGGTAAGTATACACCTAATTGTGATTTAATTATTCAGTCGCTAACTCCAGTTCTAATAATAAGTTTTGAATCAACATGTGCAGCCTGATGGCGATCCATTGGTCTTTTGCTTTGTTGACTTTGCAAGCCCAGCTCATGCTGCTACTGCAATGGAAGCTCTACAAGGTGACTTTATCATTTTTCCTACATCTTATTGTGTGATACAAATATACAAAAGTATTAGAACCGACACATTCAGTTTTGGAACTATATTTTGAAGAGAAGTAAATAGTATCATAATGCCAGCTTACAAACTCTTCTGTATATGGGAACTTTTAAAAGTGCATGACATATTAGTAAAATTGTAAAAGATTTAGACGAGGGAAGCTAGTTCTTCTCTGTGGACATTTAGGCACATTTAATACATTTATTTGCATTCTGCATAAAAGAAATAATCAAGTTAAAATCTTCGATTATTCATTTTTGAGCTTTGCAGTTTGCATCTTCAAGGACTCAATGTTCTATACTTCTACAGCATGCCTTTTGTTTTTTGATCCCTCTGCCTTAAGTGCAAGTTGTGGATTGACATTGTAAGTGGAGAGTTTCAGATTGTGAGGAAAGTACATGTTAAAATTTGTAGGCCTAATTGGTTAATGGAAAAATAGTTTAGAATATTCAAATGTAACGATGTTTGGAATTAGAAAATAATAATGTGTATTGCAAATTTTCCCTCATTCGAACTTTCGAAGTAAGGTAGTTTGCTTCATATTTCTAAGTTTCCAGTGACCACGAAACGCATCTCCCTATATATTGTAATAGAAAAACAAACATGAACCACCACGACAACAACAAGCAGCGCTTTATTGGTGCCCACTACGCAAAATCACCGATTCCACATACCTCTTCCACTGCTGCCAACAGTCACCATTTCCACGGCTTCACATTGTACTGCTCTATCTAGAAATGTTTTCAACTCCTTGCATTGCTCAAGCTGCAAAGATTGATCAACATGAAGAACCAAAAGGCATCATTGCCGCTGTCTCCCTCATGTTCAGATTTTATATGATACACCATTGTGTGTTTTAGATGAAAAATAATTACAAATTTATAATTAATGATCCAAGATATTATGGACATAATTTTCTAATTATCCATATTGAGAAGTAGAAATGGAGTTCATTTTTCCTCTACAAAAATTGACTCATTCTGCTTTAGCCTTAGAGTTGTTTGAGTCTCCATACTAGCCCTATCAATAAAATACACCCTCTGTATTCTTATGTTTGCTACACTTTCCTTTTTGGGATGTATAGTAATTTTGCTACACTTTCCCTTTTTGGTAAGTTTTCCCTTTAAAAATACTCAATTATCCTTACTTATTGTACTTATTCATCTTTTCTTTCATACTTTTTCACCATCTCTCCTACCTTTTCTACAATGTCCAATACCCCTATTACTTTTCCTTAAATATTGAGTCAACTCCTATTGTAGCAAACAATAGAATACAAAGAGAGTATCATTTTCTTATCTGTGTGATATGCCTAAATTCCAAAGAGTCCAGGAAAATTTCTCTGCACGTTACATTGAGTTAACCCAGGCTGGGTGAACTTTCTGTTGCAAAGTTGATTGCAGGATGACTAACCGTGGAAGTTGACGTTTACTAAATTACTACATATTCGGGGTTTTCTCAAAGCCGTAACTGAACGCGTGAGTGTGGTTTTCTCGAACCAGACATTAAAACGTCACTTGTAAAAATGGTATAAAATCTATCTTGCAGGTTATTTGTTTGACGAGCTCGAGCGTGATTCGGTTACTCTAAGGCTGCAATTTGCTCGCCATCCTGGTGCACGCCCAGGTGGCGGACCACGTGGAAGACGTTGAATGTATGTGCATTTGTGCAGGTGATATAAGCTACACTCTCTCGGACACTTAAACACTTTATTTTCTATGGGAATTGGGTCCTAGTTCACAATTCATGGTGAAATCTAAAATGTCAAAGGACACTTATGTGTAGGACCCACTCGAATTGCGATAGTACGATAATGAGAGACGTTATGCCAGCGTTGCGGGGTTTCTTTTGCGATATGTTGCGGCGCTTACATTAGGTCATACGAGCTATAAATTCGGTGGAAAACTTGTTATTCAAGGAACTAATATTTGTATTTAAAATGTTGTGACCTTGTTTTCTGCCCATGAGGTGTACTGGACAAGACAGCTGTTTCAGTTTATTCCTTAGGTGGACACCTTAAGGTTGATTTCATATGCGTTTTAGCTTAAGCAGTAATCGTGTTTGGATGTTTTTTTTAAATCAAGTAAAAGCGTGTCATTAGCTATACCTTGCCTGATGATGCACGTAAATTGTCTCAAGTCATGTACTGGTTTTGTGCTCACTCTGTAGTTCCTCATATTATCACGAATAATAGGTGGAGATCTATCTTGTCTAAAGAATTCAGTTACTTCACCAGTGTTTTAGTAAAAGCAGGATACAAATTTCCTTATTTGAAACATACCTGTAGGAAGTTTTGCAATTGAACATGTACTCTTTCATTTTCGGTCTAAAATTGCTTACTGGACCTAGTTTCTTAGAGTCTTACAAACCCTTAGTAGCATCTCTTCAATGGTGGCAGGCAGTGCTCGGGTATAACGGTTAGTAGTCAGGTTCCATTGTTGATTTGTTGAATCATGTCTTCTTTTCACTTCGCCAATAATGACATACTTCTTATACTATTTATTGTGCGAATTTTATATTATGAATTTAATATGCCGAAATATTTCCACACACACACACATATGTATGTATACACGCACCGGGTGATTTGGGGGTGGCTGTCAGCCTTTTCTGGGGAATCTGTAGTACAAGTACACATGCGCATTCACACACGTATATAAGGCGGGAGCCCCTAAACTTTTGGTCTGAACAGTATAAATTATTTGGAATTCTTGAGTATCAAAAGCCCTTTTAGCCAACCGTAGCAATCCATTGGCTGAGAAACTCTCCCTATCTCGCTTACATCCGAGTTTGAAACTTTACTTTTTCTTTTAATAGTTACTTTTGCATCTATCTAGATACCTAATAACGTAACATACATTGAATAACATAATTGTGATGTCCCCCCGAGTAATAGGGGCTGCTTTAGAAGAAGCAGTTGACCTATTGAAAGTCTATCGCTTATATGATTGTTACTTGGAATCCTGTAGCCATGTAATGTGATAACCCTTCAGCCAACTTTGTATGCTTTTTTGTTTCAAATTGTGCGAGCTCCCTTACTTTTGTTTACTTTGAAGTCTTTTAAGCTTTTTATTCCTTTTTTGTTTGTTCTTGTTTTGTCAACTTTTTCTGGTCTGGAGTTGTATATATTTGTCAATGTATGAAAGCGTTGAGGTTTATATGGTAATTCCTCACAGCATATTTTGAGTCAAGTTCATTTTTTACTTCTTTTTACATTAAAACTACATGGAATATCTCGAATGCTCATAACAAACATGATGTGAAGTTTCTGAACGTAAAGTAATTAGAAACACAAGCCAAATAGCGTGTACATTTAATGTGAGTAAGCTCCTCACCGTTTGGACGTTATGTATGACATTTGAGAATTGGTGACTAGTTTCTCTAGTGTTTTATTCTCTCATGTTAAGGGGTATGTTTAGGCGTTTAGCACAACAACTTTAAAAGATATTTTATGACTTTTAGTGATTGAAAATATTTTAAAAAATATTTTCGATGGTTGATAAAAGTTAGTTGCTTTAGTTCCGTTTGATATAACATGTCTAGTCAATGCCAAAAGCTACAGTTTATCTTTAAGAAGCTAATTAGCGTAGGTTTTCTTAAAAAGTTTTGAATTCAAAAAGAAAGTTCTTAAAAAAAGTGTCGAAGCTAGTAGGTAATAATTTATACGTACGAAAGATGCAGAGTGTCCTATGCGTTCCCCTCAGTATAGTAGCCTTCTTCCTTCCATGCTACGTTATTACTTGTTAGCATACTTTTCCTTCTAAAAATATCTAAGATTATTCTTTAAAAATAGAGACAACTAATAAATTGTTCATTGTTTTGCGAATGCATGTCATCGTAGTGTAGCCTTTTAATTTTGGTATTTTTCGAATCTTTTGAACCATTTATTGATAGTACTATCCTCTGTTCTTTAAAAGTTGAAACGATGTGACTTTCATGTTTGTCAACGCATAAATTTGATTTTTAATATATTTAATTATGTACTAGTAAACATTATAAAAAGTTCATATTTTGAAAATTTACACTCATACAAATTTAATACTCCTGTTGTCCCATTGGACGTTGCCGACTTTCACTTTTTGATGTTCCAAAAAACTTTGCCATTTTACTATTAAAGTAACTATTTGTGTGGTTTTTTTCATTTCTTTCTCCTTTGAACAAACTTAAACCACATAATTTTTACTATTCTTATTTCTCACATAACTCAAAGAGTGTAAAGTCCATTGGGACGGAGGTAGTAATATTTTATACATAATAGTTTGATTACATATATGATTAGAAATGATAGTCAAAGAACAAAAGAACAAAAAAGTATTTTAGATTTGTTTTAGTGTAAAAAAAGGTATTTCGTGTAGGTATGCAACCTGGCACACAATTAACAATTTTAGTATTCCACCAAAATGTTATTTGAGCGCGACTTTTTTTGGAAAATATGGAAAACATTTAAGGTCCAACGTATAGAGACTCATTTATTTCTGCAAACTTGCAAAGTACAGGGATAGTATTGGATATTAGCCCAAGGTTCTTTCTAACGTGTATGCCAAGTGCATGTTAGGAGATGGGGCTCGTTTTGTTTTCTCTCTTTATATGTTTGGACAGGGGAGGAAATGCAATAATTCAGAAGTTAAACCGGTCCTGCCTCTTTGGTCGAGAGATGTGGAGGGATCTATGAACTATTTTGCAATTATATTGTTATTATTAATTAATTTATTACATAAATAACATTGTGGCGAGATTATTTTTCATTGGACATGCTGACATGCAGTGTAAAATTGTGAATAAAATCACACATTGATGGTCGATTTTATTGCGTTGTGTATTCAGTCTATTTATTTTATGGCTTCTTTAAATATCTCATTTTTTAGTTCAAATTTATGGTATACGAATAATGCGATGACAGTATGACACCTTGCGCTGAATACAATTTGCTACAAAAAAATATACGTAGTATTTTTTGTGGAAATTTATTTTTTTACTCGATGTTTTGGATGATATTTGACTCTCTATCCTATTTTCAAAAAAATTATTATGCAATAGAAAAATATCCTGGCACAGACTTTTTTTATAATTCCACTAAAAAAGTAGTTCTATTTAATAACAGTACTAAAATAGAATTTTTTTTCACAATAAGTCATTTTGAGCGTGACATATTTTGGAAAATAGGGGCAATATTTGGGGGTTTTATTCGAATATTACTAATTTTGAACCAATTACTCAAAAAGTGAACACTTTTAAAAAGGGATAAAAAAGTGACCTAGAAGGTTATTTTTTTTTTTGAAAAAACAGTGTTTGCCAGATTTGTATGTCATTGTTAAATTTTATGTTGCTGTAGTCACTGCCCGTGTCAATGAGGCGTATAGCTGAGGCGTAATATATATATATTAAGTACAAGTACAAAAGGTAAGCTTAAGCTTACCTTTTGTTACTAAGCTTCCCGATTGAATCATTTGACGAGCTTCCCGAAAATCATTTGACGACCTTCCCGATTGAAGTTTTTGCTAAACTTTGGTATGGATGAACTAGACTTGATGAGGAACATACACAAAAAATTTGAGCAAAAAATAACACCGGAAAGGCCCCCAAATGGAGGAGGCCGGACGGGGCTCCAGTCAGGAAATTCTTGACAGGAATAGCACTATATATATATATATATATATATGGAGCGGTTCCAATGAGAACCATGCACTTTTAACACATCTCGGTGCACCATGAGGCTCATCTATTGCACTTTTAAAATTTGGATCAAAACATTCTAATATCAAATAAATGTGGTGGCAGATTCCTAAATTTTTCGTCAACATGAAAATGTGCAACATATACATGATATAGTGCATTCCATCTGCTTAAAAGTGAAGTTCTCACGTTCTCACGTTAAGCATGGTTCTTATTTGAACATATATATATATATATATCTATATATATATATAGAGAAATATTCCTGTCCGGACGTCCGGACAGGAACCGCCGTACGGACCGCGGCGTTTGGCCGCCTTCCCGGTGGAATTTTTTGATGAAATTTTTATGGCATGTTCTCCATCAAGTCTAGTTTATCCACAAAAAAAATCAGCTAAAAACTCAATCGGGAAGGTCGTCAAATGATTTTTTCAAGTTAACTGGTCCGGAATATGTATTTTCCGGACCAGTTAACTTGCAAAAATCATTTGACGACCTTCCCGATTGAGTTTTTGGCTGAATTTTTTTGTGGATAAACTAGACTTGATGGAGAACATCCCATAAAAATTTCATCAAAAAAAGCCACCGGGAAGGCGGCCAAACGCCGCGGTCCGGACGGCGGTTCCGGTCAGGAGCTCCTGACCGGATCATTACTCTATATATATATATATATATATATATATATATATATATATATATATATATATCCCTATACATATAAGCGCCACTGGTAGTTAGCTTGGTTCTTTTTCCGTTAATCCACCGTCACATCCTAACGCCATATTCAACTCTACTCTTCCATATTCACCGTCACATCCATTCCCTTAACCTTTCAATCAATCGGTGCTTAGAGTTGCTTCACTTCCGCTCATGAAGAGTTAGAAGATGTTTTTTATAAAAAACTAACCGTCCATGCCGTTTAAATGGCTGCCCCTACGGTTGTGGAAACCTTAATCGACTCATACGCCTCTATTCCCTTCACCTGTCGTATACAATCATTCTGCAGTAATTCAAGTTCAAGTGTTCAACCACAAAAAAAAAAAAAAAGCAGAGCACATATCGTATATATTAGCGGATGACATGACGAAATACCTCTCCTCTTCTAATTTGCTACGGTTCCACTCCTCCAACAAGGTACGCATTTAATTTTTTTTTTCAATTGCTCCATCAACTTGCAACGCAAACCTGGTGTAAATTTTCTATTACATACTGTATGTTAAAGTCGAAAACTTAAAGTGTATAGAAGATTTCTGTGCACAAGCTACGGCTCAAAAATCACAATCTATGCACTTCATCTACTATGTAATTTTGCAGTGTATTTATTACTTTCAATTCAAATTAGTATTATAATTGACATTAGGCTTACAATGCACTCTGTATTGACTAATACTTCATGCCATCTTGTTTCACATGCCACCTGTAATTACACATATTCTTCAAATAACTTTTAATTGACATAGTTACCAATTTCATGAATGTTCATAACCTATTCGAT